GAAATATGTCACTTATTAACCATTCGCATTGATATTGTGATTGAGCAATGAATTGTATTAACGGTAAAAACCTGGTTCTGGTACATCTGACAACTCTTATCGTACATCATTTAATATTACAGTCTTGTAATTAACATCGGTGCAGGATGAATGACAAAGTAATTTGGAAAACGATTAATTTATATCACCCAAGTCTCGACTCCGTCTTTTGTGTCTGATATAAATTATCTTTATTACCCGGATAGCATCTGGCTTCGAATGATCCCTATCAAAATGTAATCAAAATTCGAGTAAAATCAACGTCTACTTGCAATTATTCATTTATCTGTTTTGAAATATATGTGGCACGAGTTATATGCAAATTTTATCATATGTTGTTTCCAAGATAAACGACTTTCGACTTATTCATTTATATCGAATTGCGCGTGCGATGACGTAGAAGAGAAGCAATCTGGCTTCACGTTGTATCGCTATTATAATACCTTGTTACGCGAGTTCTCGCATATTAAGACGCCGTCGCGAGCTCGCGCAAAATCGTGAACGGCTGCAAGAAGGTCGCGATCTAGATCTTGACTTTTGCTAAACCAGTTTGCGAGGCCACAGAGCCGCTCGTTGCAAACACGCTCGAGGCTACTGACCCTTCGTGCTCGCAAACTCGCCACGAGACCTCGCGGTACACGCGCTGCACCTACAAGAGATGGTGGAGTCTCGACTTTCCGACCGACAGGAACTATCTTTTTCTCCTGAATTCTTTCTTTTATTAAAAAAGAAAAGAAAAAAATTAAAAGAAAAAGAGCACACTGCATACGATATTGCAAAAGACTTTAATATGCAAATATTAAATCTTGTTATATAAGTATGTTGCATTATAGACTTAAATTTGATAAAGTAACAAATCAATTATAATTAGTAATAAGAATCACAGTAGAGTTATTATTGCTGAAATATTAACAAATTATTAAATATTAAAATAATTAACAAATTGAATAGTGTTCGTAGAAATGGATAATACAAATAATTTAAACGTGCAGATTTCGACTTCTAATTCGAGTCCTCTTCGATGCGATGAAAAACAGATAGATAGATAGAGAGATCCGACAAATTGATTGAATGATTTTTGATAGTCAAATTAAGTAAAATTCAAAAATTTAAAGATATTGCATTAGAAACAGTCCGGAATTAGTAGATAGTCAGGAGGAAGAGGAATCAGAAATTGAGAAGATGATAATTGTGAATGAATCGATAAAGAATTTTTGCAATTGATGGCGCATGTTAAAATAGAAATTGTATATATTTTCATTTTTTTGGCATATTTTTTGTCTATATAAAATAATGCTCTTTCAGGCTTCTTCGTGCTTGTTACTTCATTATTCGCATGATTGCAATCAATGTAAAACTAAATTGTAAAATATTGTATAAAGATTGTTTACCATGCGCGCGCGAATTTGGCCTCATCATCAAGTGTTCTAAATAGGGAGTGTCACGTGGGGACCTGTCGCTAGATTAAGTAATGCGTGTCTCGTTGCTGCGCGGTCGGTATTGACTGAATTGACAGTCTTCCGCTTGCATGCGTGCGGTCCGTCGGTGCGCATCACTCGAAAGAGCAAGAGAGAGAGAGAAAGAGAAAGAGAAAGAGGGACTCGGAAAATGAGTGTGTTACAATGGCGTCGATAACGGAGATGTCATCTGTCCGAACAAATTGACGTTAGTTGACCCTAGAAAAATTTCAAGTACGCAACGCACGACCCGTTACTTTGGACGGACGTCCTCATTGATTGAAATAGATGGATTGTCATGCACACGCACGCTGGCGACCAACTAGTTCATTGATAATATGTCTACATTACATACACTGTACTGCATGTCCTACGATCGATATTACATGTCGCATTGTATGTATTAAAATTAATTTATCCATGTAACGTCGATAATATGGCCCGATATTATCGGTGCAATTATCGGAAATTTACCCGACTGAAATACTCTGTAATTTTCATCTAGAATTCTCGACGGAATAATAAACTTTCTTTATTTTTGTTTAATATTTGAAAACGACTATTAAAGATTCAGGTTTATGAATATTTCTATTATGGGGGACTGAGCAATTTCGATACACTATTATACTATAGATCCGGATGAGTAGCGATGAACCTACGATGTGGCTGTTATGTTTTGACGTCGCGGCAATCGACGTGAATTTGCCTCCATCCTGCTCCCGCGCTCACCAAACCTCAGGCTCTCAGGTCGATGACTATTAAATCCTTTTTTAAAACGCCAGGATCCCGTAAGTCGTGGGATTGGATGCTCTCACGGAGAGAGAACGGTACGCGATTAGAAGGCATTTTGACATCGTGTATTTCTCATCCTTGTATCTTGACAGGAGAGTTGCTATTACCCCTCGCTCCAAGATGAGGGTCATGACTAGGTCGACCTTTCTTGCCTCTTTCTCTTCTTCTTTTTTCCCTTTTCTTCTTCTCTTTCTCCTCCTCCTCCTCTTTCCTTTTCTTCATTCCCACTCTATTATCTGCCAAAAGTGGCGTACGCTAGACGTAAAAGTTTCGTTCTCAATCTCACGAATCGTTCTCGCAGTCGTGTGGATGTTGAAGAACGGATGAGGAGACGAGGAGGTGAAGAGAATATGGGCAAACGGGCAGCAGAAGGGTATGCGGGAATCGAGTACGGAACTCTGTGCGCAAACACGACGATTGTATTACATCGAACGTTCCATTTCAACGAGCCATCAGGCATGCATACGAAACCTTTTTAACTTTATACAGCGCACGTTCTTTTTCGATCACGACGATCGTTTTCACAAAGTTTTTTTATCGAGGTCAGTGGTTTTTGAGGATAATTGCTGAGCATATCGAAAATTTATTGATAATTTGGAGATAAAGAAAATGACATCAGACCGTTTGAGAATACAAAATTTTTTAATAATATATTGATTTGTAATAATTTGTGCGTGAAAGTTATGTTTGGGATAATCCACATAGTTATTAATTCGTGAATAAATTGAATTTTATGGTGAAGGTAATTTCATCACATCAGTGCAGTCATATCATTGGTTAATCGACATTTCCGGCGGTCGATTTACATACGAGGAATTCAGAATTCATTACTGTAGCATATTCAAATAGGAACATAGTTAACATACTCTACCTCATAAAATATTAGTTCGCATGATTAATATTCCTAATTTTATAGTTATATACTATTGCATTTTAAGCTCTGAACCGTTTATTATGATACACATATTAAGTGGCTGCTATTTATTTTCAAATTTTTATGAACTTGCTTTATGTATGTACGTATATATTACGTTACATATTAGTTTCAATTTTTTTAAGGAAATATCAGTTACTATTGAAATGTAGTAAAAATATTATTTTATTGATTGCGTAATATTTTTATACAATTTGTCATAACAATTGTTTACATTAGTGTTGAAGTGATCGAGAACATTGATTAAAAAACATGGATTTATAACTACATATAATATACATGGGGTAGAGTGGGACTATTCCGTCAATTTCAACTTTAAAGTGATATAAAAATTTGCAGAAAAATGTCTCACATACTAAAATATTATATATTTCGAATTATATTTCAAACATAACTGATTTATTACTGAACGTAATGTAACCTTTTAAACATAAAAATTTACATACAACGGAGAAAGACATAATTATCTAAACCGATGTATAAAAATGTAGGGTTATGTCGCTCATTAAGGAAAATTTTCAAAAAAAAAAACGCGAATACTACCTATAAGAAAATAGTTGACAATTATTAAGGGTAAATTTTGTACTATTATTTAAAAATTTTAATGAGCACTCTCAATATAATTTTCATATAATATAATTGTGAAATTCGCTCGTATATAAAAATCATGGCTTAAAAAATATAAAGATTTTACTATTGAAATGATCATGAAAATAACAATATAATTATATTTACCTTCAATCACAAAAGCTTCCACCAGTAGGAAACAATTTTCCTTTGCGGTGATATACTTAAAACTACTATATTCAAACACGCGACTGCTTCTTAAAAGCGTAAGCACGACCTTCAAAGGTTAAATATGCGTTGTTTATGTGAAAACATAAATGTTATCGCTGGCTAGAATAATCCTACACTGAAAAAAATGTTTGTGTAAAATTACATGATATTATACTGGGTTTTTTTTCGACCTAGTATAATTATGTAACATTACTTAAATATGATTGTAAAATTACCTAAATGACTGGAAAATAACATAAATATTTAAGTAATTTTCCAGTCATTTAGGTAATTTTACAATCATATTTAAGTAATGTTATATGATTATGCTGGGTCGGAAAAAACCAGTATAATAATATAATTCCACACAAATATTTTTTTCAGTGTATGGACGAAGAAACCCCTACGCTATATGGAAAAAGAATACAAATATTTAATTAAAATGTAACGCAAGCTGCTCAGTCATGTCAGGCGACATTTGGCGTCAAATTGTGTGCAAAAATTTATTAATTCTATTCGGTTGGCAAGAATTCGTTAATTGGAGTGTCCCAACTTGCTTCCTAATAGAATTAGATCGAAAGTCCTCAGTTCCTTTCGGTGGAGCAAAGATACTCTCCTTATATTACGGTGCAGCATCTGGCATCATCATTTATTGTGCTTTTCGGCGATATTGCAACTGATAGCTTTAGGAATTCAAATGCTAAAGCGTGAAAGTGATTAAACACGCATTTGTATTTGCTTTTGTACCGACGAGCTTTGACTATATTATGTGCGAAATGAATTTGTTTCGTAATTCTCTTGGTTTGCCAGCGAAGATTAAAATTTGAAGAAATTAAAATAAAACCAAGTGATAAACAAATATATTATACATTTGGACTGGCAGTGAGTAGTTTGGACTAGTTGAAACGAAATTAACTCATAGGATAATTTCAAACCATTACATTAGTAATAAGTTGTGTTACGGTATTGTAGAATAACATTTTCGTTTTTTTTTTTACTTATAGATTGGAGTAAGTCGATATTCTACGGAGATGCATTCATCGTACGTGATCGCGAGGTAAGCGACAATTTCCAGACGTATGCGTTGAATAAATCATGTAATTAGATATCAAACGTCTAGTCGATCTTTTATAAATAGTACATCTGTCTATCGAGAAACCTACCGGTGATCGAGACTAATTGATATGTTCGTGAAATATGTCGCCGTGCAAACAGCTTTAATGAGTAATCGGTCGGATGGACCGTCGATGCACCATCGGTGTTATTAGAACGGAATGCGACATATCGGTCCCTGAATGTTCGCTCAAATCCGTGCATTTCCGTTCGGTCTGCGAATTCTCGTGGCATGCCTTCGATATGTGGAGCGTGAAGATGCCAGCGGCATCACGCAAGCACGCGGTTTGTAGCGATTGAAATTAGCTGACCATCACGTTTAGGGCGACTAAACGTCTTATGAGATATTTGGCCATATATACTTTCATATTACGTGTCATATATGTGTATGTCATAATTTCCTTATGATATATATTTGAAATAAGAGGAAAGCGGCAAATGCTTCGCGTAATCTATTTATAATCGTCACAATGGATGCAATTTTACTTTAAAATAAGATAAACGAAATTTTGATTGGATTTTAAAAAAATATACAATATTTCTACTATTTCCTGTTTAATATATTACCAGAATAATTTTTATGTTCGAAAATAAATATAGGTATGTGTAAGCTAATAGTTGTACGATAATAAACCAATATCGGTGCAGATATTCGAAACATGGAAATATCGGTAAACAGCGAATATTGGCAAACTAATAGAATCACCATAATTGCAACTAATTGAATATGCTAGACTCTTTAATATTTAATACTTTTTGATCATACAAAATTTTGCATAGTTTTAATATAAAATATCAGTTTACGATCAATTGGTTTAATGAAACTAAGCATAGAAGAATTCGATCCTTGTGTCTTTTACATAAATCTTTTACATAAATCTCCTTTCATTTCGTATATAAATTTTTAAAGATAATGTAGAATAATGAAGGAATGTTTTTTTTGCATGCGAAAAAAAATGCATTTATACAATTATGCATTATTACAAATCGACATAAAAGGCAGAGTTCCCTAATAAATGAGAATCTCAATAGTACGCATCTCAATAATAATTATATTATGAGATTTTATCGAATTTTTTTTATCGAATCCATTTCATATCTACATGATTGTCGTGATTATTCTTTGAATTTCATGTATAATTAAACGAATGCCACGAACACTTTAAATATGCATTATTGAATAAGATATCAAGATAATTTTAAACAAGATAATTGCATACGTATATGACTGAAATAGATTTTTGAACGTTGTATCTTTCACATATTGAGACTGACGTTCTTCAATTGACAGTTCTTTAATTGGTTTAAAATATTTATAACTGTTGTAACTGTCATTGCAATATTCAATTTGCTTTGATTGTCTGGTTTACCGCGATTTTGTTACCGCGTAACAATTTGCCATACTTTTATCTATTTATATTTATTGACTTTGCGAAAAATATCCACTTGAACTCCCCAATAAATTCATACATCGAATAAATGGCCTTTTTCCCGATAAACAGTAAATACAATCTCTTGCGAGGTCGAAAGTTCTATATTATGCCTGACAAAAAATACATACGTGTATTTGTTTTTAATCACGTGAGTGTCAAAATTTGATTAATTTTTATCGCAACTTTATATTACGTGAAATCTTATAATTTATTTTTGAAAGTTGTACCCGAATTAAAAAAATGCTTTGTCTTATTACGTCACTTAAATTTTCAATCTTATACACACTTACATACATATATGCGTACAAAAAAATTAAATTTAAAAATGATAGCCGTGGCAGTATTTAAACTAACAAGTTTCTGCATACACGAAGGTGTTATATTTAACTCTAGAACACATTTCAGTGGTTTTGAGAAGAAGTTGTTTTGTTTAAATGTTACTCTTGCACTACGCTTATACTGTATATTGTTGTGCTTGCATACGAGTTTGCGATTTAACTGCAGAGTATTCTATACTATTGGCAACTTTGTGATAGGCCAATAGTAATGAAGCATCTGGCATATAATCAATGTAAATCAAAACCACATCAAAGCAACAACACAAAGTTTTTGATTTGTAGTTATAAACGAGAAAATAGCGATGTAAAAAGGGAAAAATAAAAAGAACGAAAGATAGAAACATATTTATCATAGTGAGAGATGAGTGTGCGTTGAGAGAGTGATATATTTTTCTGAATTTTATGAAAGTGACCCCAATTTTATTTGCAAATTTTTTCTGCGGCAAATAACCGTCATTAAAAGTGTCCTTGCTCAAAATGCAAATTGTGACGAAGGCACTGACATTTATTTATAATACGTATTCTTTTAATAGATGTAGCAATAAAAGGCGCCATTTGGACTCGCTATTTAAAATGTTGTTTTAACCGCGAATCGAGCAATATAAATTTCTCCACGTGAAAATTCTCGAAAATAACACAACGCGTACACGAGCGATGAACGTAAATGGTATGAATCGTTTCCTCGAAAGAAGAGCGAGGTTGCGATGAAAATCGACGAATTCGGTAATTTTCGCGAATCGCTGCGCGCGAAAATCAGAAACAGATGCAAAGTAGGCAATTAACTGCGAGGAGATCGCATGGAGGAAATCACGCCCGCGCATGATTGGCTCTCGAAAGGTAAACGATCTCTGCCTCGGTCCTTCTTGCCGCGCTGGCGTTGTGCATTCGGGTAAATTGCATTTCGATCGACCCAGTTTTTATTTCAATTTGTCGTGAATTTATGTGCGAATTATCGGAGAAAGAACGCGGTGGAATCGAGACAGAGAGAGGTAGTGGCTCATAAGGAAGGAGAGGGAAAAAGAAAAGAGAGACGGAGGGAGAATCGAAAGAGGTGCGGGAAGGTGGCACGATTTACTCGCGTCGTTTCTCGGCACCCTCTCGCTAACTACGATTCAATTTGCATTTCATCCAATAAATCGCGCCTCTCTTCGCGCCTTTCCCAACACACACACACACACACACACACACACACACGAGCGACTACGTGTTTTCCCAGGAATTCTTCATCTCTTTACCTCACAACGGCGAATGTCGCGCAAATTCGCCTAATATGATACTTCGGTTCTCTCTTCAATAACGAGCGTTCTTCTCACGTTCTGTTTCTCCCTTTTCTCTTTTTCTCCGAGATGTCTCAAAAATGGTGAATTTTTTTTGTTTATGGATGACTATAAAGGTGCTCGACACATACTCGTTTACGATAAGATACACAAGATTTCTTGACATACACACACACGCGTACACAAGAGCTTGTATATTTTATTTATCAGATTCGATACGTTGTTAGATATCGCGTGTATCAACGAAGCCTTCGCTTGCGATAAGGAGCATGACATGTTTACACGCAAGAGGGGGTGCGTGTTTTAATCGCTATCAACTAGAATAGATAGACGTTAGAAAATTGTGTTGAAGCAATTATGCTCACAAAAAATTTAAAAATAAAATTGAAGGAATTTTTAGACATGGATGCAAATAGAAAAGAAATAGAAAAATAAGATTCTTTTTCTAGCTGGGTCATATGTAGGTTCTGAGTGGTTCTAAGACATATTATTATAAAGCGATACCGTATAAAAATAAGCCTGACTAAACTTATGTGTTAAGCATAAACAGTTATATATGATTAAAAATATACGTATAAGGTACATTTCTCTGAAATGTATTAATATATACACAGATCTCTGAGGTGACAATACAATTATTATAAATATCGCGATACTTCGATCTCTGTCCGCGTATCATATTTTTCAGAATACGGGAACCTCTTAAACGGCGTACAAATAGTCGGCGCTCATTCTTCGCGTGACATGAGCATGCTAATACTTCACCGACTTTCTAAGCAACCGACCCGTTCTCCCCTACTCGCTCGACTATATTGCAATCGTAACCCTTTTCCTCCGTGCGTGCGACACGGAAGAAGATCCACGCCGATAAAAACCTCCCGTTGTGTCGACCACTGCAACAAATGCATCTACCGGTCGATTCGGCCCTCGCGAATTTTGTGGTTGACGTTTATAACGTAACGATGTGTGTGTGTGTGTGTTACGTCACAGGCGCGTTTAGAGATAAATTAAGTTGCGTATTCAAAAGTCACTGAAGGCACACTGAAAAAAAGTAATTTTTTTCGCGACACAAAAAATTAAACAACCGTAATAGAATTTAATTAGATTCGACTTTCTCTTGTGCGATATAACATTAGATTGTAAAATCAATCAATGCGTGAAAGCCGTCTTAAGTAATAGTTACATTGAAAACATTGAAATAACTGATTCCAGTGGCGTTACTTGGTCCGCGATGCGGAATAGCACGCAAGGCAAAATCTGCATTAATATTTCTCGCAAATATTTTTACCAGGCAGATCTCGCGTGGATTAAAATTACCGAGCAGTCCAGAAATTTGTCATAAATTCGTCGCTGAAAGCCGTCGCGTATAAACGGCCAAGGAAATAGCGGGAGGTAAAAAGTATCGCGCCAAACGGTCACGTCCCGTGTCCACTCTCACAAAACCTGAGAGCGTTTCGCGAGCGAAAAGGGTGGAGATACCCGCGGTCATCATACACGCACCGGGAATATTTCGTCGACGTGCAAGTCACAATCTAGATTACCGAGCAGGTCCGGGCGGGTAGTACGCCTGGGAAAATGCTGGACGCTGAAATAGGCAATTTTTCTCTTCCATCACGGCGTCGCAGCCACGCGTCGAACATTTGCAAACACGTCGATTCGCCATTCTGTGCGAATTTCTCTCTCTCTCTCTCTCTCTCTCTCTCTCTCTCCCCCCCCCTTTCCCTCTTTTCGGCTTCTCTCTGCCCTCTTTCAACGCGGCGATATGAATTTTCGCATGCGTTGAATCGAAAATTGTTTCTGCCTCCAGCGCATCTCCTACGCGAACTAGGAAATGTTTTTTACCACTCTGACAAAAACGACCGTTTTCTCTGATCCATATATACATGTGCTCTCGAG